CAGAGATCTGGGGTGCTGCCATATATCTTTCTGAAAAATCTCTCTTTTTAAAAAAGGTTTATTTATATATATTTAGAGAGAGATTGAGAGAGAGAGAGAGAGTGAGCACAAGCAGGGGAGGGACGGGAGGGGGGGGAAGAGAATCCCAAGTAGGCTCCTCTGTCAGCACAGAGCCCAACTTGGGGCTCGAACTCACAAACTGAACCTTGAGAACATGACCTGAGGCGGCATCAAGAGTTGGAAACTAAATTGACTGAGCCACTTCAGCAGGCCTATCAGTACCATTTTAACTAAAAGGTTAATTAAAATCCTACTTGGTATTTTTCCTGGAAACTGACACCAAGATTCCAAAATTAGTAGAGCAATGTAAAGGATCAGAAAGAGCCAAGATGATTCTGAAGATGGAGGGGAGAGCTTCAGTATCTGTTATAAAACTATGATAATGAAATCAACATGATATTGGCACACAGAACATTTGAAAATACCAAAAAAAGCCCCCAAAACATATGTGGGGCAACATTTTTTAAAAAAGGTATGTATTAACTATCAATTGCTATGTAACAATTTACCCCCAAGCTTAGCAGTTTAAGACAATAGAAATTATTATTCTGCGGTATCTGAGGGTCAGGAATCTGGGAGTGGCTTAGTCAGCTGGTTCTGGTACGGGGGTCTCTCAGGAGGTTACCATCAAGATGTTGGCTTGGGTTGTGGGCATCTGAAGCTTGACTGGAGGTAGGGGACTCGCGTTTGCCATGGCCCAGGCAGGTGGCTGTAGATCAAGGGCTTTCTTTGCCACGTGGGTCTCTCCATGTGCTATGCAATAACAGGGCAGCTGACGTCCCCCAGAGAAAGCGATCTGAGAGAGAGAAGGAATGCAAGATGGAAGCCAGGCCGTCTTTTATAACCTAATACCAGAAGACAGATACCGTCACTATTTCTGTATCCTCTGGCTCTGGCATCATGTGGGAGGAGATTGAACAAGGGCATGAATTCCCAGAGGCAGAAGGGCATTATGGGTCATCTTGGAGGCTGACTACTACAAAATTTTTGAGGGGCAAAATGTCACATTATTTATAATTTACATACTTCAGCAAAAAACAAAAAAGAGACTGAGGAAGCAAATTGAGCAAAACTTAGGCTTTCTCTCTGGGGGTGACAAGATGGCTTACTGGCTCAAGAACCCTCTCGAAGCCAGTTACTCTCTTTTCTATCCAGCCTCCTGACTCGCCTCGCACCAGAACACAGCGTTCTCGCAGCTGGCTACCTACAGCTGCATTCAGGGCGTGGGGGACCGACTCAGCAGCAGGGCCCCCTAAATGGTAACAGATGAACTGGAATCTATTCTCCCTCAGGTATTATTTAGAGATGTTTCGAAACACACCAGCACTTTTTCTCATTTTGTTCCAACATTTCTTTAGAGGAACAGTGCCACGGAATACTTTTTATGACCTTGCCTTCCAGGTCAGGGTCAATCGTGGGGTTTCAGCAGAGTCAACAGTCTTGCTGAACTTTGCCTTTGCCCCGTTTGTTAATTCAGCTTGGGCTCATTCAGTCCCTGGAATGCAGCTCCTTATTTTATCATGAAAAATAAAAAACAACTTTGGAAGGATGACCAGCTGTGTCTGCTTAGCCACAGATCTTTAGTTTATTAAACTCCATGAAATCCTAGTGTTCACTTACACAAAGTATTTCTAGAAAGAAGAATGTAATTAAAAAAAATTTTTTTTTTAAGCCTGGGTTAAATGTTAACTTGTGTGATGAATTTTCCAGAGGAATTGGGAACTAAAATTGGGGAAGCTGAAAACCGCCATTTTGGGTGTTGTAAGAAATGTGTAGGGCGCCTGGGTGCCTCAGTCGGTTGAGCGTCCATCTCTTGATTTTGACTCAGGTCACGATCCCAGGGTTGTGGGATCGAGCCCTGCGTCAGGCTCCCTGATGAGTGTGGAGCCTGTTTAGGATTCTCTCTCTCTCTTTCTCTCTCTCTCTACCTCTGCCCCTCTACCCTGCTCACAATTTCTCTCTCTCTCACTCTTTCTCTCACAAAAACACAAGGTCAAAACAAGACAAAAACTGTGCATTTTAGGATAGAAATAAACATTTATATTTAGGGCTGCCCCTCAATTTGTTCTCAATTTGTCCACTTTGGTGGACTGCTTTTAATTATTCGGATGTTAAAAAAATACCTACCCATTATTTTGGAGAAGTCCCAACATAGTAAAATAATTTGATTCTAGATATTTCAGACTGGGGTATGAAGGGATCTGTGTGATGGTAAATCAGTGTATTTCTAACAGTGGGGAGGACAGGAAGTGTAGCCGCCATGGTGTGCTGGTCTGGCAATGTGTTCTCCTGGTGAGACTAAGCGCTTTTCCCCAGAAATCCCTTTCCTTGTACGTTTCCGGTTTGATGGAGCTACAGCGGCTATTCTAGCTTGAGAGTTGCACCTGTCCTTTTCCCCTGGGCTTTTTTTGCTGAATCTTTTAACATAAAACCATGGAAGACTGATACTGACATGACTTGTGCAGATTATCTAGTTCAATTGGGTTCTAAATTTCGTCCATTCTAACAGTCATCTGGCAAGCTTTTTTGAAACATGAATTCCCTAGTGCCACTAACGAAGATTCAGGTTCAGTAGGTGTGAGCCCAGGACATCTGCATTTCCTTTATGAGTTTCCTAAGTGGTTTTGGTGATCAGCCAACACGTGGGTTTGCTACCCGCTTGATTCTCATTTTATAGTTAAGGAAACCAAATCCCAAAGAAGGGACATGTCTTTGGGTTAAGGAAAACGACAAGATTGGCAAGCACAGCCTGTGTCTTGATAAATTTCTGGTTACTACATTTGCGTTAAACAAGGCTTTCTTCAACTAGAAGATGATACTTGACCAGTGACTGTGTTTATGGTACAAAATGCCAAAGCTATAGCTCTTTAGGAATGCAGAGAAGAGAATATTAAAAGAGTTGCTGCTCTCAAGCAAGCTTCATGGAGAAGAGTTCCCAGGACTGGAGATGATTTGCATAAATGGTAAGACAGATGGTAGCCTTCTCCCCAAGGTGGGAAAGCCATAAGAAAGCAGGGGTCCATCCCAGCTCAAGTGGAAGGTGTAAGTTAGGACAATGGGTAGACTGTAGGAAGGATCTGCTAGATACTTTTAGGAAAATAGAGAAAACGGTAGAATAAATTGCTTTTGAATGCAATGGCAGAGGCACGTTTCATAATCTAGGGGTGGCTCATAAAATTTGAATGTATAGCGTATTTTGCCAATTGAGAATGATTGGGGAGGAAACTGTTTTTTTTAACCTTTAAGTACATGCATAAATTTAACCCTGAGCCAGCAAATTCTAGCAAGGCATGGAGTCATACAATTATGAACTGTCTCATATGAACAACAGTGTTATTAAATAGGAAGTTAGTAACGATGCTTGGGGACACTAAAGTAGCAAGTAGAGAAAAATGGCGTCTCATTAGTCATATCTAGTCTTTCCGTGTAATTAGTACTTCCAAGATGCTGGAAGATGCTTGAAAACAGTCTTATAAAAACAATTTTGTGTTTTGATGGAAAACTAAGCTTGTCAGGAGGACACCTTCCAGGCTGATTCTCATCTTTCAATGTCGTGGAGACATTTGACTATTGTGTAATTATAGGTAAATAGTAGATGAGCAGACTGTCCCATGTAATTGCCCTCCTTCCCAATTCTGTGGAATAAAGCCAGTTTACCTTCATCTGCACTTTCCTTTCAACATTTTTTAAACTCTATATTGATGTGTGTGCTTTTTTTGACTCTTGTTTTTTTAAGGTTTTTATTTTTTTAAATTATTTTTATGAATATAATTTATTGTCAAATTGGATTGATTACATACAACACCCATTGACTCTTCTTTTGAACTGGTTTTAACATCTGCCTGTTTTCCTCATAAATTAATGAGTAGCACAAAATCTGTAACACATCATTTTTACATCTGTGTGAGTAACCTGTCTGAAAATTACCCTTGAACAGTTCTACAGTCTCACAAAGCTGACTCCTGTTGTCTTTTTATCTTAACCGATTTGCCATCTCTCTGCAGAAAAGACCTCTTAAGTCACATTCAGTCTGGAGTCACACATCTTCTGATCAGAAGCATCTAAATTAATAAGATTCTATGTCTCCGGTCTTAAGATTTGTGGTCAAATTCTTGTGGCCTCAGGAAGCCGGTATTTTCTCCATTCTCACTTATTTTTTGAACCCACATTGCTTCCTGTTCCCTTAACCTTCTTTGGAGCCAACTGCATTGGTTATGATAACTTTAGATAACCAGATAAAACAGAGTGGGGGCAACTATGAGTATGTAACAACTTATTTTTATTTTATTTTTTAAATGTTTATTAATTTTGGGTGGGGGGAGGAGAGAGGGGGGTGGGAGGACGTGGGATCTGAAGCAGGCTCCATGCGGAAAGCACAGAGCCCCACGCAGGTCTCGAACTCATGAACTGTGCGATCATGACCTGAGCCTAAGTCCCATAAAGTGGGACACATCCCAACTGAGCTGCCCAGGCGGCCCGTAACCACTTATTTTTAAAAAGAGCCTAATTTAGATTTACAACAGGGAAGTCCCAGGTCCTCGGAGCCAGCACTCCTGTAAATTTCACGGGCAGGCCTGCTTTCTGCTTCTGGCTTTCCTCCCGG